GAAGGGGCTGTAAAAACCCTGGAACCCAAATCTCTGTTGGACTCCCTGCCTTGGAATTGGATAATTTTAAGGTTCCTTCCATCCCAAACCATTCCACATCCCAAACTGGAAGGCGTTGGGAGGATCATGGAATCCAACTCCCTCTTAAACTGGAATTTGGAGCATTGAGACCTCCCCTAGAGGATATTTTTGGGGTGACCAAGAGGATTTAATGACAGTGCTTGATCAAGTTCAATCAAACCCCAAACTCTCAGGCTGGAAAAGCATTCCACTGCTCCATCCCCCTAATTTGGAAGAAATTCCCCAAGAACTTCACAATTGCATCCCATAATAAACCCCCACACCCGTAAACTGCAGGGCAACACTGCAGCTGATTTTGGGGTGTAAGGGTGACAATTTTGGGGTGTCTTGCTCAGTTTTTAAAATTATTTTTAAATTTAAATGGGATTTTTAATTTATTTTCAATTATTTCTCCAGCTGTGCCATCCATTGTACCCAACCCTCCTCCTCTTGCTCCTGGTGACAAAATCTGAGCATCTTCATCTGCTGGATTACAAGAAATGATCCCAAACTTTTTAATCCTGTCCTGAAGTTTGGATTTTGGGCTCCAAGTAGGAGGAATCCTGCCACAAATCACCCCACAATCCCTCAGTTTCCCCCTGTCCCGTTTTCCCTCTGTCCCACCAGTCCAGATGGAATTCCAAGCCCTGGTGAGGAGATCAGGATGTCCATGGGTGGCTCTTGCCCTGCTCTGGAGCAGAGCTGGCTTTCCCAGGGCCCTTCCCTCTTGGAAAACACCAACAGGAACAGCTCCAGTTGTTTTTCCATGAGGAAAACTCACGGAAAACATTTTTTTTTCCCATGTTTTTTTAAGCTGTGGTTTTATCTTTTATTACAATGTTCACAATGCCCTGGACAGGAACAGTCTGGGATGAGGGTTTGGTCTCAGAGATGCCATTCCTGCCTGGTTGGAAGTTTTACTGGAATTTGCCAAGGAAAAAATGGGATGAAACCAGCCTGGAAATGGCTGTCTCCTCCCAGCTTTTGAAAAGGAATCCTTTGGAAGGTTGGGATCACCACTGATCCCACGAATATTTAGGTTTTCCTCACTTCCAGAGGCATGGGCACGTGTCTTCTCCAAGAGTGTGGGAGCCCTCACTGGGAATCCCATCCCTGCCCAATTCCAGGGAAGAGGATTTACCATGGAACGTTCCAGAGGATTCATTCCATGGCTGGAAAGATGGGAAGGAAGAAGCAGAACCCACCTGCAAAGAGAGGAGGTGGCTCCATGAAGGGCTTCACCATGGCCTTGCCGTGAGTTGTGCCAAGCTTTTCCTCCCAATTTCCACCGTTCCCAACGTATTCCCGAGGCTGGGAATACCCTTGGAGCCTCCTGTGGACTTCAGCCACCTCCAGCCCTGCGGATTGAGGGTCACTGAGGATGGATCCAAAGCTTTGGGGTGGGCAGATCAGCTCTCCAGGCTCCATGGACCACTGGATTTGAGGGTTCCACGAGTCCTGGAGCAAATCCTGGGGGATGGTTTGGGATGGTGGAGCAATCCCGGGATTTTGTGGGCAGGGATTGGGATTCCCGTGGGCTCAGCTTTAAAAGCTGGGAGTCAGGAAGGGATTTGAGCACGTCCTGAAGGAGAGGGTGAAAAGAGGAGACTTCCAGGATTCCCTCTGATCCCTCAGATTCCTCTCAGGAAGACCCATCCCCCTCCTCAAACCAGGATCCAAAAGCTGTTGCTGATCCAACATTTTCTGCACTGTATCCCAGGAAAAAAAAAAAATTTATTCCTAAAAACAACTTTTCACAGTTTTGGGCTGATTTGGGGCAAGGAGAAGATCCTTTCCTGCATGAATTCCCAGCCTTACCCTTTTCCATGGACATCCTTCCCAACTCACCTCCACAACCTGCAGACAGAAGAGACAGGGAAGAGTTTGCTGCTTTTTTTTTTC